GGGAAACCCTGATGCGTTGCACCGAGCAGTTGGAGATAAAGGTAATACCCATAAGCTCTACAGATCATCTTGCTGATTGCAACAAGTTTTGTTCGATTTTCTTTTTTTCTTTTTTTTTTAATTAGGACCTCGTAACTGGTTCCAGATCACATCATAACGAAGTGGGGCATCAGACACTTCAAAGGTTATATAGAAACAGTTTTAAGAATTATTATTGGCTCTGGACTATCTGAAATTTTCTGTTTACAAAATTTGTGAGGCGGCTTCGCGACTCATTGCTTTGATGTCAATGTTTAATAATTTACATGTTTAATATTTCAATCCTTTTTTGTATTTTAAAAGTTTTTTTTCAGAAGAGGAAAACTATCAGTGGGTACTGCTTTTAATCAAGGCCCAGTTGTCTGATCAGCAGCACATGGAACTGGTCACAGATGACGAATAAGTATAATTATTAAGTCGGGTAACAATTCAAGCACAACTTACATTATTACTATCATTGCATTTCATATACCGAAAACACAAATTGTCTTAAATATGTATGATTAGCACTTGCTTACAAAAATATGATTTAGTTGATCTTTTCTTAGTGTTGGCAACCGTCTGTCTCGGAAGACAATAATAATCTGCACCTAAGAAGTAAAATCACGTCAAGCTGCACCGCCGGCTGTGGCTGTCAAGCCCAATACGGGAGTCACAGACCCGCTGGCATTTTGCGCTGGTAAAGTCATTTGTGGGGGTTGGTGGAATAGGGGCAGACTGGAGCCTCTGTCGCCTGCGAGTCCTCTTCACCTCCCACTGGCTCTCCCTCTTCAACTCGGCTTGTTTAACGCCGGCCTTGACAGTCGATCGCCAGAGTGTACGGTCGGCTGTTGCTGACTCAAGGTTTCCAGGGCTAATGTTGCAGTTCTTCAAGTCACGCTTGCAGACATCCTTGTAGCGCAGAGTTGGTCGTCCTGTTGGCCGCGTCCCTGTGGCGAGCTCACCGTACATGATGTCCTTTGGGATGCGTCCATCATCCATTCTGCATTTTTTCTTAACCCTCAGTATATTATCAGTCTTTATTAGCAGTCTTTGGCGTTCAAATCAAATGTAGTACCATTAACTCCATTGCAATTTAGGCAACCCAGAATAGTCTTTCCAAGTCCAGTCCAGTTCTATGCAAACTATGCTTAGTAGATTTCCAGTTCAAACCAAGACAGTGCAGTGTAATGCAATCTAATGAAGTCAAGCACAGTCTATAGCAACGCAGTGCAGCGATGTGCAGTGCTCTCTGGTCCAGTGCAGTCTTGTCCCGCTCACTCCAGTCCAGTTTCGCCCACTCAAGTGAAGTCCCATCCACGCAAGTTCAATGCAATGTATTTCCATCTGGAACACTTCAATTCCATAAAAGAGAACTGCAACAATCCAGTTCCGTGAAGTGCTGTCCTGTCCAG